TATTTCTGATCCAGTTCCCTTCCAAGCAATTTTCAGAAGCTCTTAAATTTTATGGAACAAAGATATGATTTTGAAATAGGCAGAAATACCAAAAAATAAAAACAAAATGTAAAAGGCTAGAATTAATTTATTTCTGATTTTGATGTATACATGAACCAAAAGAACAAATTCCCATATAAGTCTGTGAAGGTACTGGGGAGGCTGTGCTCCTCAAGAGGACATAGCGCTCCCTTTATCCATATACTCTTAAACAGGAATGTGTGCCCATAGTGTGTGACTACCAGATGACACCAAATACATAGGGCTGCCAGCTTTTCACTATTTCACCTGCTTGTAGGAGATGGTCTCCATGGCCTCTTTGACCACTGGTCTTGGTGGTTTCAAACTGGTATGGTCAGAAAAAAAAAAAAAAAAAGAAAATCTCATGCAGAAAGATCTGGTGCTGAAAAATTAGTGGAGACTTAGTCTTATCTGCAGTGGGGAGTTGCAGTGATGTTTCCCAGATTTTTTCATTATCATTATCACTGTAGGTGAAATAATATGCTTTCTGCTTTTGCGCTGATTATGGATAAGAGCAAGAAAAACACAACTCGTGCCATACTTTTGTGGGAGTCTTAGACCGGTTGATCGGCAGGAGTAGTCTCTGACAACAGAAATTATATACTGCAAATGAGGTTTGTGTCTAGCAGTATATATCAGTGGGGTTGTTATTCACTGAATAATAATAAAAAAAAAGTATATGTACTGAGACAAAGGAGAAATTGAAAATAAAAACCTTTGAGAAGCATAAGCAAAATGACAAATAGACTGGGAATGTCCATTTTTCTTCTTTTTTTCCCTAGTTGAGCTCTGTATRTCTTCCTTAAAGAAATATTTGATACACAAGCAACACAATAATAATGAAAAAAAACCTTCTGTATTCTACCTTAARTGGGGAAATGAGTTTTTTTAATGAAAAACAGTATTACAACCACACTTCTTTTTTATGACATATGTAGCAGTAAGCAACAACTGTGAATATTTTTCTAGCAAGAGATAAGTATATAGAAGAGACTAAAGCATTTAGGCTGGTGGATGGGCATGTGAYCAGGAAAATCAAGGTCTCTAACTAGTTTTGACTTGCTGTTTGATACAGGGGATTATGCTGTTTTACAACAAATTTATGCTGTTTGGAAGGAAATCAGTGACAGTGAGGTAMAGCCTAGCACTGTATCAGCTTAAATCCTGCTCTATTTAGAAGATGAAAACATTACTTGGTAAGAAAGGTCAGCAATGATGAGCAATGTGCAATGTTTCAGTTGGCTGCGAATGTGCATATACACAATAACTTYCCTGGTTTTCAAGAAACAGAAAATAATAACATTTTTCTTTCTACCAGYTCTGAAAGATACTAGTGGGGAAAATAAATACTGTAGAAAAGGTATTTTTTTTTATTTGTGAAGACTTTTTATTGCTGAAGTGTCTCAAGAAAAAGACATTTCAGTGCTCTAAAAAAACCCCTAGTAGTTAAATTTTTCACAAATTGTCATCTGAGGAAGGGGAAGTGTCGCAAACAGGTAATTCCTTAGACAGCTCTTGGGGTGTTAAYAGTTCCCGAGCTGCTCAGACTGGTGTGGGAAAGGAATGCACTGGAGCAAAAGGCAAAAAGACACCTAGATGGGTTTTCTGAATTATGGTTTATCCTCTTTCCACCCAGGTACCTCTGGCATCATGCAGGTGCTTTACGAGGCTGAATGCAGCCTCAGTTGCATCAATGTTCACAGGTTCTCTAATTTGAGATGATCACAGAATCAGAGAATYACAGAATCATTAAGGTTGGAAGGGACCTCTAGAGATCACCTAGTCCAACCCCACTACTCCAGCAGGGACAAATTGATTACTATTACTACACACTTAAAGCATCCTTAAATAAATATTCAAAACAAAATAAAAACTTTTTTAGTCCTGACATGCATGCAAAAGTAGGACCTTCTWCCAGTTTGCAGTCTTGTAAACTCTGTATCTGTGTTTCCACGGTTAAGAAGAAATATTGACATAAACACAGATTTGTGTCTCTYTGATGTGCCTGGATTTCCTTGTTGTATCTCGCGTGACTCAGCTCTGCCAAGATCTGTATTTATTTAGATTAAAAGGAAGAGCTCATGTGGAAAAAAAAAAAAAAAGAAAAAACAGAATGAAAATAAGTCTGAAATGAAGCAAAAGGGACAAAATTGTATATTGTGCTTTGCTTTTTTACTTTGTCACAGCTTGCACTTTGTAGCACTCTGTATGTTGTGCCTGTGGTTTTCTCAGGAGGTGAGTGCTGGGTTAATGCAGCTGTTTCTAGGTGCTAGCATCCTTCCAAAGTGCCATTTGAGTGAGCTGCATCCCGGTGGTCTGTGCATAAAGTGCTCCCRGGCAGAGCAAATGTCCCTGCTCATGTGAGCCGTTCACCGTGAGAAATGGTCTGTGTGTCACCATAAACTTCATCCTTGTTCCAGTGCTGGAAAAGGAATGTGCTCMTTCTGCCTGCACTGCTTGTTCAAATACCACAGGAAATATAAAATATTTAGATGTGATCTTTCACTCTCCCCAAGCAATAAAATCCCAATGATTTTGTCTCAGAACAGGGCTAATTTGGGGATTTAGGAATCTTTTTTGCTCACTCATCTTACTACTTAAGTTCCTTTTGATCTTCCTTTTATTTGAAGTATAAAAATCATTCTGAGCTAGATGATGGAGAAGTAGCAACACTCTAGAAATGTGGATTTTGGACCTTAGTGACAACCAGCCTCACATGGCTTGCAGCCTTCCCAACATCAAACTTATAAGAAAGGTCTCCAGAAAAAAAACAACTTTTTGTCAGATCTTGTACATTATGTAAAAAGCTTAACTTGATAAATAACTTCAACCATGGCATTTTTTATTTTTTTTTTCATTCTTGACTATAAAGCCTTAAATATGAAGTTAGTTGCCCTGTGTGGGGAAGGATATAGGCATTTCATTTCTTTTCCTGCTCTCTGTTGAGAATTACTTGCAGACTATGCTTTCAGCTCTAATATATGCATGAGCAAATTGTTTTTTTTGTTTCTCTCTCTATTTTTTCTTAGTTGGTTTGCTGAGCATTTTAGGAGCTATTAGTAAAAGGCCAAAACATGCCCATGACAAGTGTTTATCACTAGGGGTCATCTCCTGCGTGCTCTGGTTCTTAAGCAGAAAAAATGTGTGGGTTGATGCAAATATGTCCATTATTCTGAATCTTACAAACTTACATCTAATCATCAGAAATGGTTAAGTTAATAGAAAAGACAGCAGCTGTGCTCTCTGGATATATCAATAATGCTCAGTTCCCATACAGTCTTAGGAAAACTCAGTCCAGGACTTTTCATAAGGCAATGTTAGGAGTGGTAGAAATCCCAGCGGTGCTCACTTGGACAAACCTTTAAATGAAAAATAAGATATAGTGTTTGTATGTTAGTTTTATGGTGACTAAATGAGACTATGAGACTCTGACTACACATATAAATAACTTCTGCATTCACCAATTCAGCTCAGAGTACAAAACGTCCCTTCAAATATATACTACCGTTTTCCTGTGAGGTTATACCCTATCATCGTTGTTCTTTAACTGCACTGGAGAATTTACCAGATATCTCACATYCATGAATTAAGTTGATGTGAGTCTCTTGTCCATTCTTTTGTTAATATAATTTGTCTTGCTATTTTATACTGTTCTACTTGGCCACCTACTTCCCATGGTCTCCAGAGCTTCTGTACAGAGTTTCCCCTCTATTTTTTTTTTATTTTTACTTTTTTTCCTCTTTTTCCCCACACTTCATCATGCAACACTGACTATAATAATAAATGTTCCACACAAGATCTTCCTTTCYGGTCTATTCCCACAGTATAAACTTATTATTAATCAGTCTCTCTTTGCTGTTCATTATTCACAAACAGGTACATGTCACAGCACTGAAAACAAACTATCTGTCTTAAGACAATCCTAGATCTTGAGTCACAGGGACAAAACAATGTGACACATAGAGCATTAAGAAAAAGGAAAAAAAAAAATATATATCCCCTATGCGCTAAGGCCTTTCCATTCCAGAGCTTCATCCCAATGTTCACAGTCAAGAATAGACCATAAGGAAGAAAAAAAAACAAAAAAACCCAAAAAAAATGGTGGTGCTTTCATCTGAACTTTTCTATTGCTACAAAGTTTAGTTTTGGCCTTGAACATATAAAGCTCTCTCTCTCTATATATATATACAAACACCTAGTATATATGCTGTCTTAAAGAACAATTAAAAGAAAAACCCTCTCATTCATGGCCATAATATGAAAAGGACTGGACTATAGATATGACCAGCTCCTCCCATTAAATACCCCAGAAATAAAATGATTACTGAGACTTTTGATGCTAGTCATTTGGGCTCCCCACTAAATTTAGCTTCCTAATCTTGGTTCTCCAGTTTTCTATTCCTTTAAATAAACATATCATTTACAAAGCATACTTTAACTATAGGATTACTTAACAGGTATGTTCCAGAAGAGTTAATGAATAAGAACTCTGAAAGCAAAAGAGTTATTTACTCAGATATGGACATTCATAGCCAGAGACAAACTACCTTTTATAAGCAACTGCAAAAGAAATTTTTTAAAAAYCAAAACTTAAAAAACAAAACAAGTTAATTACTTTCAAACAATACTCATCATCAAATAGAAACCCTTTTTTTTTTTTCCCAAAAACTTAACAAAATATCTACCACAGAACACAAACTCTTACATTTAACAAACCAAATAAGTGTTTGAAAAACAGAAACAGGCTCTTATTAAACTATTTAAAGAAGCAAAATATAAACAGCTGCATTGATAAGATGTGTGATGATTGGTGGCATTGATGAATCAAGCCCTGATGAGATTTGGTCTGGAAGGACCTCCAGGTGGAGGGGATGAAATCAGAATCCTATTTATTCCCAATTACTCACAAGCACTCTTTGCTTTTCAGTTCTATGGAGAGAAAAAGAAAAGTATCTGGGTTTGTAGCGAAGGTAACACATGTGAGAAGACTAAATCAAAGTGGCCTGACTTTGGGCTACATGAACTCAACTCGGAATACATATTTAYATGAGGGAATAGACAATTTGATTTCTTTCTGAGAATGAGTGTAATGTACCTAAGAGTATAGTGAAAGATGGGACGGGGGGGGCAAAGTAAAAACTTACAGGGGATAAAATGATATGTTTTTAAGATGAATATGAGAGAGAAAGTATGAAATTTTGTGCGCCCAGGTTTTTTTTTGTTTGTTTTCTTTCTTTTTTCCTCCATGATTTTCTGTGTCCATCTCATCTCCATCCTGTGAGTCTATATGCTGCAGCTATTTAAGCATTGACATTTTTACACTGGTTATACTTTGTTTTATACATTTTTATGTGGACTCATTGAGTATTTCTGTTCTTTTTAGCAATATCGTCCTACTTGAAAATGACAAGCTTGTTTTTAGAGAGGAGTTCTCCTGTGGGACGTTTGCAGCTCTTTTTTTTAAAGAGTAATTGCATGATAGATTCAATGTCATCTTACTTGCTTCTATGACCTTTAGATATTAGCCATTCATAGTGGTGTCCATCAAAGTCATTTTTCTTAACTACATGTATGCTCTTCAAATCACTGAAATTATATAAGGAGTGGCCTGTTTGATGAGATTTCCTCTTCATGCAGAGAGCCCTTTTTCTAAATCCTGAGCAAGTAGTTCAAATGAAGGATGGAGTAGCAGAAGCAGAAGGAACTCGGGGCATTGTCTGCAGCACAAAGARTAGTAAGCTTAGCTCCTTGGCTAAGATCTCTATTCTCCTTTGGTATCTATAACACAGCTGAGTCTAAGGTTCTGTAATATGCTGTCTTTGATTTCTAAATAAGTCACTAAAACTGTTGGCATCCTGACTTTGATGCAATGACCTTGAATAATGTACTCACTTGGGAGTGTCATCTTGATAAATCTACTCAACAGAGAACTTAAAAGTGTGCTTTCTTAGTTTCCTTTAAGATTGAAAATTGAAACTGCCTTGACTTCTCTTCAAATAAAAGATAAAAATATGTGCTTTTTTTTCCTGTCTTGGATAGTATTTAATTGAGATTTGCAAACAGTAAATGGTTTTTATCTCCTCTAAGAAGCTGGAATGATATTTGGCATTTATTTTCTAATAGAAAATAGTGATTTAGAAAAAATGATGAACTTGGTTCTTCATGGAGAGAAGAGTACATGAGTGCATTCAGTTTGTCTGGGGCTCTTCCTTTTCTCTTCATTGTGGCACTAGCTATTGCACACAGTGGATTAGTTCYGTTTCCATTAAGAATGTGCAGAAAAAAAAATGTGAATTTCCAGTCATTGGTGCTCTCTTGTTTCTTCACTGAGGGCAAGTGCTGGTCCTGAGGCCAGGCAAGTAGGGCACACTACACTGAAATATCCATGTGTCCCAAGGATCTGCAGCAGTCCTGGCCAGGTCTTCTSTACCTCCTTGGCCCAAGCTGCAGGRCAAACATGAAGCTCATGTCTTCTGTGGCCTTCYGACCTTTCTGGTTGATATCAGGATATTAGGTGCTGTGGAAAAGTGGGTTACCTGGGTGTGTATGTACTGAAGTATCCAGAGTGTCCCTTCCAGAYGGATATGTGCAGGTTTAATGTCTTACGCTTCTTTTTTGGCTGCAGACCCTGCAGTAGGACAGACGGAAAGTGCTGGTATCTCTTGGAGATGTTCCCTAAGATATAAACTCTATTCACTGCATTGCTGTAAGTCTCCTTTTTGTGATCTCTTACCTGCATCAAGTGACTGTGTGCTGGAGAAGAAAGCTGAGAGGATGCTGTGCTTCCCCTGTGTCTGCTCTTAACCTGTACTGCTGTTTGGRAATATTTCTTGCAAGCTTTAGTCCTGGATTGCAGTGAGCCCTCTAAATGATTAACTACTTGAGGGGGTGATAAGGAAAGCTTGGTTCGAAAGAGGAACTAAAACTCTGTGTTCGTGCAGAAGGAGAGGATGCAATAAGCACGTTTCCACAGATGCCTCTGGCTTATAAAGAGACAGCTGGGGCTCTAAAATGCTTCGAGCAAAATGCGTGCATGGCTTCACAATAACTGAACTTAGAACAAACTTTGAGATTTCTATAAACTCATTTCTTTGAGGTCATATGAGCTTCTCTGACATTATTTCAGTTCTAGGAAAATTCATTACTCAGCTTGCAGCTTCATCAGTCAGGTATCACCAGGACAAATTTCTCTTTAATTTGGCACCTCAGCTGCTGGTGAAGGAAAACTATTTCTTGTGTGTGTGGTTTCAGTCTGGCATTCAAGGAAGACTTGATCTCAAGTCTTGCAGAAGGAAAGAGTCTGACACGGAAATGAAGGGAATTACAAATGCAAAGACTGACTAAATTTTCATCTTTGCTCTTGCTAGTATGTGGATGGAAACGCCTATTTTGCTGGGAATTATGTTAGCATCCATCTTGCTGGGAACTTAGAGCTTGCATTTTGGATAAAATGCAGAAAATAGCAATTGCTCTTCTCTTGCATACAGACAGCTAATCTGTCCAAAGTATAGATTTCAGCACATCCTTCCCTACCTAAGTTGCCAGAATTCATTTTGCCCAAATGAATACTGTTGAAATGTTAGAGAGCTGTTAGAAAAGTGTAAGAACTTCAGTCAGAAAACAATAGGATGATCATATATTTCTGGATATGTCTTTTATTGGCTCTGCTCCATCTGTCTCTAGATGCTTCTAATAAGCTAGAGATAATATTTGCCTTYCATAGTTTACCTACCCCTTCCTTTCTAGCATCACATTCCACTCTTGTATTGGACTCATTTTTGCTATGGGAAATGTTTCAGTTTGCTTGTCTGAAGTCATCAGAGCATTTCAAATTAGCCAAAATTGAGAAAAGCTTGAAAATTCTTGAAAGAAGGCAGTCTCTTGAGCTTTCTAGTGATTCTGGCTTCCAGAGTGGAAATGCCATGGAAACAACAGTTGTATCTGAGCCCCTGGCTGCTGCCAAAACTCTTCATTTGAGAGGTAAGTACAAAGGACAAATTAATTGAAGACAAAACGTTAAAAGCTCGGCAAAGATTCCAGGGTGGTTTTAGGTAAGCTTTAGCACTTSTGAATTCAGTCAGAATAAATTTGCCTGTATCTTTGCTGTAAGAAGTAGTGCCCATGTGGAAGCAGCTCCTTTATTTTTGTTCTTAAAAATGCTAGGGCTGGCACAAAATCTGCTTTATTTGAAGCTGGTGGGAAGAGCCTGGATTTTAGTGGGAGATGAATATTTTGGAAATCCTGCATTGACTACARTTTTGATCTAAGTCACTTCCATGTAGAGTTTCCAAACCTGTGTGAGCAGATCAGGCTTCCTGGAACTGCCTGGGAGGTGGGTATGGTGSTGGATTTGCTCTTCAGATGTCTTTAAGCAATCATGGATTCTTAAACCTGCCAAGCATCTTGCCTGCTCTCGGTATCAAAGAGATAAAAATCAAGGCATGGAGCAGTCATATGTTTGCCTGCAGGTTCTGGGAGCTTTGGTTGGAACTGAGATTCATCAATAATTCCAGATCAGGAAGATTTAAAAGGAGCTGAGTGTTCAAGGAGGAGCAAAGTGAGGATCTGAGTAATCATTTGAAAATGATTGTGAAAGGTCTTAAATAAAGATGAAATTTGTTCAGTTCTCTGCTAGTACTTACTCCTTCCCACACAGCTTGTACCRCTGTTTGTAGCAAGAAACTGCCATAATTGAGTCGTTTTTATCCAGCTGAGAAATCTCTAAACTATTCTGGCATCAGGAAGGCAGAATTTAAATATTGTCCTTTCAAAGAACAGCAATGAATACCTCGGACCAAGGTTTAATCAGAATTAGAGCAGGGTAGGTTCCATGCTGGCATCTTGGTATGAGGTTGGATGGTGAAGTGGCATGAGATGGTACAGCTTGCCTGACTTGGAAATTGCTCTGATTTACAACAGCTGAGAATTAGATGTCCCTCTTCCACTGAGGATGAAAATATGATGCTTTTACCCATGCTAACCTAGAAGAAAGTGCTTTATAACTAGTGAATATTCTTATGATACTAGGAACCTGGTCTCAGAGCAATTCCTTAGGATTCAAGTGGCTCCAGCAGCGTTTGAGAAGAGATGGATGCTTTTACCCTTAACGGTACAAGCTTGCTGAAGGCAAAGGCTGTGATGCATCCAACTGTTGCAGCTCAGCTGACCCAGGAKAACTTATTCAACTGTTTTACCCTTGGAGCAAGAATCCCAGATCAGACCTACAGTGATACGCATTTGCTCCTCTGCCATTTGTTTTGCTGAGGGCTTTAGTTGGCTGCATGGTGTATTATGACCTGAGGTGTAATTCTCTTTTTTTTAGTTATTTGACATAATACTTGCTATTCAAATCTGAACAGCCAGCCTTTTGCTACTCTAAGATATCATATTAAAAGCAAAGGTTTGGAAAAATGCTGGAAAGCTTTTACAAATGATTGAATTGTAAATGATTTGAAGAGTTTTAGTGTAATGTAAATATGGCTTGTAAAGAAACACAAGGAGTTGAGGCAAAAAATGTTCCATAATATGTAACTGTGTCAGCCTTGCTCAAAGCATTTAATTTTTTTCTGAATAATAGATAAAATAGTGGCGAGYCACCGTTTGCCTGGCTTTCTGTAGATTTGTGTAATGTTTGCTTGCTTATAGGATGTGCAGATCTGCTTTATTCAAACTTCAGGACCTTGGAGACCCTTCATTTTACACTGATTTAACATCTTTTTGGCTTAGTTTTACTTTATCCAAGTTATATAAGACCTGATCTTCAGCTAGATTAAATCAGATATACATATGCATGTATATTTTTAAATCCTTTTCTTTGGAGAGAGGTTTTATCTATGTTTTGGATTGTTTATAAACAATTCTGAATGAGGCCAAGTTATATATCAAGAAGATGGTGACCTTTCCCTGTGTCCCCATATATAACATTGACTTTCAGCAGCCCTGGCATCTCCAAATAGAATGGAGCCTTGCC